CAGGCGTCCACGGGGGATGAAATTAAAACGGGAGGGTCGCGCATGGTATAGGCACATATCCTCAAAATTTCAGCCTTCCATCTTTTCTGGTTCTCGAGTTGAAAGTGGGTGACAAAAAGTGCGAACACACAGCCACACACACACACGCAGCCACACACACACGCACACACACACACACACACACACACACACAAAAACAAACAAACACAGCCTCTTCCCAATATGCGTTTTTGCAATTTACATATATGCAAAAACGCATAAAAAAAGGTAAAATTTGAGTGATACTGAATTGAGTTAATACCCCAAAGGAATGCTTTAATCTCTTGGAGGAGGATAAAATCTTTAAGCATTCGAACCCTATCCTTGACTAATTTCTAGAATCAGATAATATAATAACAGTTCTATCTGTAGCAAGGATAGCTGTGTTCATCACAAGAAAAACCCAGGCTGGAACGCACCAGGCGAGCCAGTGCGATCATGAGTTTTTGCACCAAACTTGAATTAGGTTAACTGCATGAGTGGTTGTTTCTTCACACACACTTGCGCTCTCAATACCGTAAGTCATCGTAAATTTTGCATAAAAGGAATTTCCGTTTGGTGGTCGTCTTTTGAAAATGACCCAGTCGTTCAGTGAGTAATTTACCCGCCAAAATTTTAGTGCCCGTACACGAGAACCACGTATGCCTAGGGGCTGAATTTGATAACTTTGAGTCGTATGTGGGTTGGGAACATCTCCTGAAGATTTCGGCTTCCCAGTTTTGCTTGTTCCCGAGCTTTCCCGCCGAAAAATCACACGGGGCCGTACGCAAGGAACACGCATACCTGAGGGCTAAAATTGAAATCTTTGAGTTCTATTTAAACGGGGAATATAACCTCAAAATTACAGCTTTCTATCTTTTCTCGTTTCCGAGTTATCAGTTTTCCCGCCAAAATTTTCATCCTCTCGTACGCGGGCCAAGACGTGCATGAGGAATTGTACCGCGGTTCTAGGGCGGTACTTGGCCGGGGTACCCATTGGCGCTGAAACTTGCTTGGTTGCCGGGTTGAAATACCCGGATTGACGAACACACACACACACACAAACATACACATACATACATACACAGACAGTGTCGTCGCAATATGCGTCTTTGCAATTTGCATATAGGCAAGAACTCATAAAAACCAAGTTAGTAAAAGTGTTTTCTTGCAGCGCGTCCCGCGGGAGTTTCAGATTTTCACTGTCGCATAGATGTAAAACTGGAGCATGATTGTATCTGTTTTTACAACAAACTGCTTGAGCAGGTGCGGGAAAAGTGGCTCTCGTTCTGTAAAGGGCAAACAGTTCCACACCAGTATTTCCGATAACGCTCGATCGGCTCCGGCTACCTGGGAAATATTGAGACATTCCTCTTTTCCCTCACAACTCAGCAAAACGTTTCAAATTTGTATTGCAGATTGGCTTCAGATACGGACGTGAAAGTGTACACATTCGATCATTTCGGGAAAGAGTTCATCAAGCGACACGGTATCAGCCCAGACAGCTTCATTCAGATTGGCCTCCAAATTGCCTACTACCGAATCTACGGCAAGCATGCGTGTACCTACGAGACGGCCACACTGCGTAAATTCAGCGGCGGACGCACAGAAACCATCCGGTTACCAAACTTCCACTCGGCTATGTTCACTGTG